CAGTATCCTGCAACAACAATGCATACAACAGCACACCGAAGTAGATGAACAACGGCACTTCAGGAGGAACAAAATTCTCCTTGTTTGCGCGTGTTACGCAAAACTTCGTGCTCGTGTCCGCGTTCTTCGTGAAAATCCGACGGAAAATCTCGTGAAAATAGAAAAATCAACGGATTCAGATTTTTCTGACCGAACAGTAACTTTCTCGACGACGATTCACAAGGGATATTGATGAACGATCGGCGGAACAAGAATGACTGATTAAACATATTTTTTCGCCAGGTCTCGCTAACAACAACCCGTGGTGTTTTCAGGAGAAAAAAAAATAAAAGAATAAAAGCAGGAAGCTCGTTCTATACGAAGAAGAACCTTGTGCACGCCTGCGAAACGCAACGGTAGTACGCTTCATTGCGCCGTTCCTCTCAGTGGAATCTATATAGCGCGGATTTCACGGCCTAATGAGTCTGCATAATGAGTTTAATCGGCAACTTTATTCAACCATAGTCAGATACAAGGCGCAGTTGCTGATTGGCTGGGTATAATTTAACATGAAATCGTTCATCACACGAGTGATGAGTGATTGCAATGGAGTTTCGCAAAGGGCGGAGTTATCTCTCTCTCTCTCTCTCTCTCTCTTCTGAAAACGATGACTTTTGACTGACTCGCTATCGGCGAAATACCAAAATTGTATTCACGCAGCGTCATTAACGTATTCCATCGCGCGTGTTCACGCATGTATTTAGAAAGACGTTGCTATTATACGCATAAACAGTTTATTATGCGGTAAGTTACAATGATGAGGTAATGCGCTCGTAATCTATCTGCCTTCTACGTCTAATCCCGAGGAATTTACGAGCTTGGGCGGAACAAATGTATAAACGTCGCGACGCTTAAAACCGCTGCTACGAGAAAGACGCGAACTTACGCGAATAAAAGATGCGAAAGCTCATCTCGCGAAATTCCCAAGCGCATTTCGGCCGTCTCGGTGAATTAATTATTATTACAGTCGGCTTACAGGCTTACAGGCGTCTTCTACTCGCTTGCTATCTTTTATCTATTCATTGTAATTGTGAGAAGAGGAAGAAGAGCAACGAATTATATGTCCGAACCAATTATTCCTCACACGAGACTCGAGCTTCATGTAAGCCGCTCTGATAAAAATAATAACATCATAAAACATTATAAAATTTTTGTTGGAGCGAGTTACCTTTTAAATCCCATGTTTTCAACGCACACACTCACATCGCTTGCACACACATATGCAAAAGATACAATAAGATGAACAATATCCGAAAGATTTCGAAAGCAGATGCCGTATCCAGCCAATTTTCAGAAAGAAAAAAACATTATTTTCGCCTAGCGAATATCACCGCATCGCGCAGTTGTAATTCATCCTTGATGTATTTTAATTCGTTTCTCACATCGTGCATAAAAAGACGATTATTAACTGCTATAAGTAAGAGACGATTATCTGATTTCACAAGCGCACTATATGAAATATAGCTGTGAAATCAGCTGTTTGCAAATCTATGTTTTTATACTTAGGTATGACGTATTGACTATCAATTACTAGAGTTGCGTTACTATTTATTACTTTTTTTTTGCGTTATTACTTTTTTGCATAGTCGTAGTTTCTACATAAAACTGTTCTTGATGCGCTGCCACAATGGCGTATTGGCTTTTATCGTAATAGCACGATCGGTGACAAAAGTACTGCGACACATTAAAATTTGACAAATTGCAGAACAGGTAACAACAATAAGATGGTATCTTCGACCTCACAATGATTTTCGTTAAAAAGAAACACCCGTTAGCAGCTGGAGCATGATCGGTAAACGCTTAGATACCGATATGAATTCAATCGGATGTGTGATAGATATCGGTTATTATCGATCATATCTTCGTTGCTGCAGAATTGCTAAGAAATAATGACAAAAATAATACAACACACATAGCATTACTATCTATTGCGGCGAACTACACGTGTGCACAATAAGCAGTAGTTTTTAACTGACCTGTGGTGCAATTCTGTAACTTATTAGTTATTGGAGTTAATTGGAACGTTATTGGAGTTAACGACACTTTCGTTATCGTTGCGCAGCTTTTGTATACCGTAGAAAAGCTGCGCAACGATAACAAAACTGTCGTTAACTCCAATAACGAGTTACAGAATTGCACCACAGGAAAGCGTCAGAGTATTCGAGATGAAAGAGGTGTAATTCATCTTGCAGTGACAAATAATTTTCATAAACAACATGGAAAATACGAGAGACGTCGTTATCACTACTTTACTTAATTGCGCTACTAAAGTAGCTTTATCTTGCTTGCGATAAAGGCGCTATGAATGTCAACTGACAACAAACCATTCAATAGAAAACGTCAAATCATGCATTGATCTAGCGAGCGACTGCGCTAACAGCCTGTTATATTTATTAGAATTTCGCAACGCTGCGCGTCACGGAAGAGGCACGCTTATGTCATGTTTTACATATTCGATTTG